CATTAAGAATTGTAGATGATATACCTGATTGAAAAATACAAAAGGTGAAACGATTAGTTTATAATCGAAACTGCGTACACTCCATTAGATGTAAGTGTTTTTACTAGTGGAGCATATGCATGTAAGTCTTTTTGCAAAATACAAAATAATGTTTTGTTTGAAACGTTAATTTCAAAAGCTTGTAAGTGTTCATTAAAGCCATTGGTTTTAGCTTTTTCATAAAGAAACATGGCATCTCCATCAACCCCTGATAATATGAAAAATAGTTCCAAAAGTAGGTAACTCATCGTTAATATCAATAAAAATAACTTCTCCGATTTTATAAGTGGTACTTTTAATGTTTAGGCGTTTTACACTTCGTACATTTGACTTAAATTTACAGAAAGTGCCGTTTGATCGAAGGGCAATATCATCAAAATTGTTTACAATTGCATCAATGTTTAAAAAATCTCCATTAAAAATCCTTGCGATATTATCGGTAAACCCTCTTTTATTTATAAACCTATTGCAAAGTTTCAGTTGGTGTTTTATTGCTAAAGTTTTGGCTATGTCATTTCTTGAGGACACAACATTTGCGGACTGTTTTGATAATCTATGTTTAGACTCGTAGCGCATGCACCACATATTGACAAGTGGACCGACTTCTTGCATGATTTTATCATAATGCAGCATGTGATGATGCTTTGGTTTCAATAGCTCCTTAAAAATATTAATCAAAATAGAGTGATGCTCAGAAATTAGAGTTTTAAGCAATACCGCATCTCCTTTGGTCACATGCTTCGATAAAATTAAACTTATTATTTGTCGGAGTGATATGTATAATTTCCAATGTTTATTGTCCATAGGAACTAAATCACCGAATATCAATCCTGCATATAATGCAAAGTACTTCATTTCTGAAGCGGACATTTTTAAAGTTTTATTTTTTAAATTATCTTCTGAAATGAGAGGAGGTTTATTTTTTATCTCAACGCCAAAATCAAAATACTTTAATCTTGAGTTTAATGTATTAAGTGTAAAAAATTTATCAATTAATATAAACTGTCGTAAAATTAAGATCATGTCATAACCGGCCACTCCTTCGAATATGTCGTGCATGATGTCTACGGCATAGTTTTTAGTTACATGAAAAGATGGTATTCTATTCCATACACATGAAGACTTTATTCCGGTTAAGCTGACATTTCCGATTTCTAGATCTGAGGCATAATTATTTTCGTTACGTAATAGTTCCGCGCATTCTACACATTGGGTTTGAGTAAAAGTTTTTAAACATTTACAGAATCTACATGAATAATTAGAACGGAAGCTTTCAGTAAAGCCTAAAAGGGTATGCATTCCCAAATTATCCCCTATTATTAATGCTATAGAAAAATATATTTTTGATGCAATTCCTTTAACAATAATTTCTATTCCTTCTTTTTCTAATAGAATTAATTCATCAATTAATTTTGAAAATATCACTGAGGTACCATAGTGCTGTAAATCTAAACTATAAAAAAGTAAAGCCAAAAATATGTTTTCCAATTTACCCTGATACAAGGGAGGTATACAATAGGGTGGGCCGAAAAAATTTTTTTTTGAATTCAATTTAGGGGTAGCAAAAAAAATTTACCTTATGCCAAAAGTAGTTTGTAAAAAAAAAATTAGCGTACTAGCCCAATATTTAAGGCCCCCCTGGGCGCCCAAAATATTATTTTTTTATATTTTTTTTGGGGTAGCAACAAAAAGTTACATTTTGTTAACAGTAATTCTAGAAAAAAAAATTGCGTACTAGCCCAATATTTAAGGCCCCCCTGGGGGCCCAAAATATTATTTTTTTATATTTTGTTTGGAGTAGCAACAAAAAGTTACATTTTGTTAACAGTAATTCTAGAAAAAAAATTGATTACTAGCCCAATATTTAAGGTTACCCCGGGGGCTCATTTTTTATATTTTAATTGGGGTAGTCACAAAAAGTTACCTTATGTTAACAATATGTCTAGAAAAAAAGTCCGATATTAAATTTGACGTCAAAAATTTGTCGGTTTAGCAAATTCTAGGGTTAAAAATGTTTATAAATTTGGAAATGTTTTTTTTTAAATAAAAGAACTAAAAATATTTATTTATAAGTCAAGCAGACGACTTCTATATAAGGTTCGGCAAGTTTCCCTTTCACGCGCAAGCGGTGAAAAAGTTTGTGAAGCTTGTAACAGAAGCTGCATTAAAAATTTGCTGTGAGGTAGCAAGAAATGATTATAACCATATATATATAGATGCGCGGACATCTTTACCGGCCTATATGACAACAAGTCTCAATATTATTTAAATAATAAAAAATACTGGGTGGGAGGGAGCGGATGGAACTCGAGGAGCAAATATCCAATTAATTAATAATAATAATAATAATAATAAAAATGCTTTATTGCATAAAACACAAAATTAATTACACAAAAGGCTGCGTTCGTAAGGACGTCCTTCCATACCACCTACTAAGAAATTAAATCTATTTTATTCTGCATATCACATATTAATTAAACTAAATCCTATAATTTCATATCACAACAGTTAAAACAAATTAAATGTGTTTGGATATTGAAATATTATGTTAAAGAATGTTTTATCGTTCAAAATTTTTATAGATAGGTCTATAAACGAATCCTTAGATTTTGAAGTTTTGTGACTAGGTATTTGAAAAAGATTGTGCCTTAAATCAAGATTGTATTTATTGGATCTTTGAATACAGTTGTTCATACAGGCAATTATTAGGTATTTACTTTCTGTAAGGCTCAATTATTTTTAAATGCTTGTTTTCCAAATAGATTGAAGTAATGGGGTCAAATTTTCCGACTAAATATATGAATCTAATACATGAGTTTATTTTTAAATGTTTCAGTATGATATGAGTAGTAGACTGGCATGCAATAGTCTATAATAGGGTGTATATTAATGTTGAAACAATTTTGCACTTGGTGTTAGAATTTAGAACATATTTAAATTAATATAGTGATTTCAGCTTCATATAACACAAACTAAGTTGTCTTGTAACATGGCTTTTAAAGTTCAGGTTTGTATACAATATAAATAATAAAAAAACACCCAGATTTCTTGCTGTTTCTTGCTGAGGCATTTCTATAAAATTTATATGTATGGTATTAAAATTATATTGCTTTTTATTTATCATATAATATTTATTACAAGACCCTTTTTGGCATTTAACTGAAGTCTATGATTAACTGACCAAGCATTTACTTCTTTTAAGACTTTATTTATTTCGATAGTGGTTGTGTTAATTAATTTAGAGTAACGCAAAATCTTTTTTAAATTTAATAAAATCAAGCCAAGAGTTGCTAATTTTTTTTCATCAAAAGGCGTCTTAATAAAATAATAAAAAAAACTGATACAGGCATTTGGTTTGTCTATGCAATAATACATGGGGTAACTTTTTGTTGCCATCGCAATTAAAATATATATAGAAAAATTTGGGCCCCCCAGGGCACCCTTAAATATTGGGCTAGAATGGCTATTTTTTTCGAAACATACTGTTAACATGAGGTTACTTTTTGTGGTTACCCCAATTAAAATATGAACAAAAAATATATTTTGGGCCTCCGGGGCACCCTTAAATTTTGGGCTAGTACGCTCATTTTTTTTTTTTTAGAATTACTGTTAATGTAAGGTAACTTTTGTGGTTAACCCAATTAAAATATGATAAAAATAAATATTTTGGGCCTCCGGGGCACCCTTAAATATTGGGCTAGTACGCTCATTTTTTTTCTAGAATTACTGTTAACATAAGGTAACTTTTTGTTCCTACCCCAGTCAAAACATACAAAAAAAAATATTTTGGGCCCCCGGGGGACCCTTAAATAATGGGCTAGTACGCTACATTTTTTTCTAATAAATTACTTTTAACATAAGGTTACTTTTTATTGCTACCCAAAAATAAATATCTCAAATATTTTTTTTTTTACGTTTTTCGGCCCACCCTAGTATACAAGGTACAGAGTAATATACTGCACCCAGTTTTTGCATACCTGCGTGGGATCCTAAAGGATTTCCGGTTTCGTACTCGTCAAAATATAAATACAATGGAATTACTAGTTTAGATTGGAAGTCACGTATTTTGTTTTTCCAAAAGGTACTTTGGATAATATTACTCACGACACTATTTTGTAAATTTAAGTTTGACATGTAATCAGTGGTATCATAAAATACATCAGGCAATTCAAAAAAAAGTTTCAAAACTGATTTCATAGGAACATATTGCATTTTTGATTTTTTATATTTAAGTGTATTGTACTGATTTGTTTCTAGTCTTTGGCCTACGAGTATCTCCTCAGGTTCAATCAGCGTACCTCGAAATTTGAGAGTTTTAAACCTATGATATTCGGTATTTAAATTATTAAATGCGCCTTTAAATACTGTAAACAAAGAATTTACTTGAATTTTAAAGCTTTCATCTATATTTTTATCAGCCAACTTATTAAAAGTATCATTAAAATAATTTAAAAGTATTGATATAAAATTGTTAACGTCTTCTATTAAACCCTGTACTTGTTTTCGATTTAAAGTGGTTTCTGCATACAATTTACAAATAAATTTCAAAGATTCTTCTTCTACTAAATTAGTAAATTCTTTGTTAAAGTCCAAAATTTTATTTTTGCTGGCCTCTACGATGTTATTATTTTTAGACTCTTTTGTTAAGTCATTGTCACAGATAATACCCATGTTAATAGTCTCACAGTTCGAGGTAGACGAAGTCGGTTCAGTTTGAATATTACTTGTTGATATGTTATGAATTTTCATATGTTTTTGAAATGAATTTAGGGTAGAAAATACTCTTAAACAGAAATTTTCAGTACACTTAAAAATACTACATTCTGTCAAAAAATGGACGCATTTGTAATGTTTAATTAAACCTTTTGTTGATTGAACTTGAAGGTTACAGATATAACAAGTAGGCATTATTAAGTATTAATGATATAGTTAAAAAAATATTAAAGTATTAACATTAAGTATTAAAAAACATTTGGTATTAGTGATAATTGTTCATTTAAGTCAGTGATTAGTGCGGTAGTTGCACTGCTGGGTTTGTCATATGCGGTATTTATATTATAAACCAACCTCTGAATCAAAAGCCAAACATGTTGACATTCGGCAGGATATTCAGCATTTACAGTGTGGAAAACTTTAAAAGCGACATCCAATGCTTTAATGGGTGTCTCAAGCTTGTATTTTATGTCGTCTATAACCACAAAAGAAGATGTAATTGTCTGTTCCCCAATGCATACAATGAATGGCTGTACAGTCAAACCAAGACTATGTAGTCTAGTTTTCCTTTCTTCAATTTTTTCGTTCAGAAAACCAATCTTCTGAAATGATTTCATTTTAGATACAAAAAGTAATTACGAATAAGGCGAACTTACGGAAATGTACAACACGAAACTTTCTTGGACCTCTAGTTTTGAAGGACGCCAGTTTTTGGACTTGTTCTTACCACCACCACCTAATGTGGTTGGAGAAAACAAATATGGCAAATAAAGTAATGCCAAGAAAAGTTGATCTGCAATATTGTATTTTAAGAAAAAATAATAATTTATTATAAAAAAGTCACCTGTAATTGAGTCCATGCATTGGTCACGAAAGTATGGCAATTTGACTTTTTTCTTTTCTGCCTCTTTAATAATTGCTTCTGCCAGTTTAGGAAAAGTGGTATAAATGATGTCTCTTTTATCCGGGTAAATTTGGTCAAAGTCAGACTCTAGCTAAAAATATTTAAAATTATAAATAGTAAATTATACAAATCCAACTTTCTTTACCAAAATGTAGCCGGCGCTTAGCTTCAGGAATGGGTATAAATTTAAATATTCGTTAATACTTTTATTGCAGTTGCTGTCTTTTCTAATTTCAAATGTATTTTGCCAGTAAACTAAAATTTGGTCACGAGGTTCCAATGCTGTTCTTAAAAATGCGATTTGGGACTGTTCTTCATCAGATATTTCTTAAAAAAAAAAGAATATTAATATAATTCTCTTATTTTAAGCATAAGCAAGACATTATTTTGAAAACACAACCTATAGGTATTCTAAACTTATAAAGTATACTATACAAATATAATATCTATATATTCTATACTAAGTCTTATAAAGTATTTATACTATACAAAGTATACTTTGTTTCTCATCTTTAAGACATACCTTTTGCAACTGCTGCTTGCTTGATTTTAGAGGTCGAAGACGCAGAAAGTTTAATTGCACTCTTTAAATTTACATAACGAGAATATAACTTTCCCTTGGGTTGAATTTTTGGAGAAGTTTCCGTTTTAGGGCAATACGGAATATAAAAGGTTTGTGTATCTTCCTTAACAAATAAGTCACAAATTTCCTCAGCTGCTTTCACGAAGGTACTTGAATGTATGCTACAACAAATATTAATGTTTTTTAGATAAAATGAAATAATTATTAAATGTTTTTATTATAAAAATATAAAACCCATGTGACTTACTTGTCAGCTTTAAGTAATTATGATATTAGAAATTTTTTGACGACCATTGGCATCTAAAATGCCTTTTTCTCTATGGCTTTGTAATAAGATGCGACCATCTAAACTACTTTTTAAAAGGGCCTCTAACCCACCTGCGAATAATTATACATTAACTGTTGAAGCTAAAAATTAATTTATTGTTACTAATAAATTATTAGAAAAAAACTAAAACAATCTTACCTGGCGAATTTATTAATGATTCTAATGTCTGGTCTTCAACAGGAATTATCAGTTTATCATTGTCTATAGTTACAAATTCCTTTATTAAGAAGTTATTGGAAGTTTGTGGTATCACAAAGGATGATGAAGGTGAATTTTCGTTTTCGTGCATGCGCGACGCATTGATTCTCTGAAATTCTTTTAGCCGCTCTTTTAACTTTAACTTTAGTCCAGATTTCTTCACGATTACGTTAATTGTTTCCTCATCCAGAATTTTTAAAGCTTCTTCATCAATAGCCTCCTCACGAAAAACATCTGTTAAAACGTCTAAACCCCACTCTGCAAGCATCTCGACAACAAAGTCGTCAGCCATTTTAAGCTAAGATCTTCTTACTAAAAATTCGGTATACCCTATAGGGTTAAAATAAAGAAATTATGTAAGTAGTTATAAGAATAAGGGTTACGATTTATTGGATAGTAGTTTGAAGATTAGCCCTTTAATTTTTTTTAACAGAAATTTAAGTACAATTTTTAAAACTCAAATCCATTTATAGTTATAAATATTTTAAATATAAAATACAAATGTAAAAGTTTTAGTTTAAAAATACTGATTTTTAAAAATTTTGTAAAATAAAATAAATTTTAACTTAATAAATTTCCAGGGTAGATAAAAATAATGATTTTTTTTAAGAATTAAAAATCGACGATAAAAAAAATAATAATTTTTTTCATTTTATATTATTATTCAATTTTGTTTTAGCTTTTATTATTTTCTACTTGTTATATATATTTTTAAATGATACCATAGCAATAGTACAGAAGTAAATCAAAACTTACAAAGAATGCCAAGGGAGAAAGTAAAACAAGCATAAAAATATTCCTACTTACAAAAACTCCACAGCGTGTCACTGAAATTTTTTTAAATTATTTTTTTTCTTTTAATTTTTAGTAAATTAATTTTTTTGTTTTGGGGGCTATTTATTAATTAATTTTTATCATGATTGATTAAAATAATGAATTAAATCGTAAATTTTAATCAACTAATTAAATTTAAATCTCAACCTTATAAATTTCTGTTAAAACAAAGCTATAAGTAGTAAACAACTATTATCCAATAAATGCTAAAACGGCGAGCCATAGAATACATTATTGGGGAATATATATATCTAATACCTAACAGGTATTAGATATATGTAGGTAGGTACAGGGTGAACCAAGTAAGGGGGCCCATATACCTACTTATCTTAGAAACTACTGTCCCAAAAAATATGTAGAGAACAAAAATGTAGGTAGTATATTTTTAAATTATATTAACATTGTAATTATATATTAATATAGGTAAATAAAAAAAATAGTTTAATTTAGAATAAAAATAATAAACAATTTTAAACCCAATGTTCCCATGTCCACCGTTCTTAATAATGTTGATCTTAATTGGTTAATTTTTACAATTTTTGCTATTATTTTTTGTGACTCCAGTAGTTTCTGAGATACCTATATCCTTATAAACCACGTAAGGTGACCCATCTAATATATTATACATATAAGTAAATGTAGTTACGTAGTTCACGCTGTATATTTACGTTTATTATAATATAATATATAGGTACATATAATGTCGCCCCCCTTTAACTTTTTTATTTTAAGTGTCCCAAAAAATTTAAAAGTGTGGTTATGTAGGTACTAAAAATACTTTTCTACGTATAAAGAAAATTGGAAAATTGATCAGTATACAGGGAAAAACAAAAAGTTTTTTTTTCAATGGATCACCCTATATATGAATTTATTTTTTCTATTCCATGTAAAATTCTGAGCCTAATTCATATAACAAACCATATACCTAAATTCAACTGTTTCTGAAATATTCGCATTCGAAATGTTAAATTAAATGTTTTTTTAAACTGTTAGAAATCAAGAACCCTCAGTATACCAAAATTTGTATTGAAAATAAATTACTATAGTGACATTATGTCAAAATGTCTTGGTAAATAGGTAAAAATGGCGTACCTACTCAGACAGAGAAAGACAAACTATATTTCAACTTATTATCTTAAAAATAATTTAAATATTTTAGAAACGGTTGAATTTAGGTATATGGTATGTTATAGGGGGGAAATATGCTTAGAATTTTACAAGGAATCGAAAAATATATTCATATATAGGGTGATCCATTGAAAAAAAATAAACTTTTTGTTTTTCCCTGTATACTGATTAATTTTCCAATTTTCTTTATACGTAGAAAAAAAGTATTTTTTAGTACCTACATAACCACACTTTTAAATTTTTTAGGAAACTTAAAATAAAAAAGTTAAAGGGGGCGACATTATAGGGGATCACCCTGTACATTATAATAATTTAATAATTTTACATTATATTATAATGTATACATATACATAGCTACGACCCATAAAAGTAATGGATGTATTTTAAAATATTAATTATTTATTATAATATTATATTAGGTATTATCGGCTTATAACACCAAAAATCAAACCGCACCGGACTATTTTTTTCTGAAAATATACCTATCCAATAGCAAAACCCTCGCTGGGTTTGTAAAAGTTAGCTCGATTTATTTTTTTATGGCCGTTTGTATTTTCTAGTCATATACCCCAATTTAGACTTATTAATCGATTTTTTTCGCATATATTCGAATTATATCGTCAAGATTTTTTGTAGAAATGTAGTTACTGAACAAATAAACCCATTTTATGAACAACCTATATCCCAAAACCCAAATTTTGGGACCAAATATTCGAAAAAATTTTTTTTTTCAATTTTTCGATAATATTTTAAATTTCTTGCTACTTCTTCTGGCAAAAATGTTGTAAAGTATACTAAAAGAAGTAATTTATAAAATACGCACACAAAACTGAACTTCAAGTTTACTTATTTGCTGCAGCATGGAAAACAATTTTTAAACAAGATTTTCCAAAATATTCATCTTTTCATACTCAACACCAAATTTTTTGCCGACATCTTTGGAAAATCTGTAGGAAAAAATTGAATAGATAAAATAGAATTGTAGAAAAGTACAGAGAGTTTGATTTTTTATTTTGTATTAATTTTATTATTAAAAAACTTTTTTATATCAAAACATTGAGTAATCTGATTCATTGCTGGAGAATTCCATCCCTTCCACTTCTTTTCCTTTATTTTCTTGTTCTTCATTTTCATTTTTTGATTCATCACTGGAGAATTCTATCCCTTCATTTCATATATTTTTTATATTCATTTCATTTCAGGCGTTTTAAATGGTCCTGATATTCGGAAATTTGTAATGTATAAAGACTTTGACAGAGATACATCATCATTGGACTTTTAGGCAAACATCGTTCTCCCAATTATGAAGGATGCGACGAATGTTGGATGTTTTTTCCAAAATTGGAGTCAATATGTCGCTAAAAATTCATTTCCCTCATCGCCATTTGGACTACTTCAGTCGACAGTTATCGACACAATCATCAAACTGCGATGCCATTTGAGTCCAGATAAAGAGGAAAACGAGCTCCAGATGCCATACTAGCCGAAACATTTTGGTGAAGTAAACATATTTTTGACTACGATCAGGAAGAAAATGAAAATGAAGAACAAGAAAATAAAGGAGAAGAAGTGGAAGGGATGAAATTCTCCAGTGATGAATCAAAAAATGAAAATGAAGAGCAAAGAAATAAAGGAGAAGAAGTGAAAGGGATGAATCAGATTACTCAATGTTTTGATATAAAAAAGTTTTTTAATAATAAAATTAATACAAAATTAAAAATCAAACTCTCTGTACTTTTCTACAATTCTATTTTATCTATTCAATTTTTTCCTACAGATTTTTCGGGAAAATATTTGGTGTTGCGTGTGAAAAGATGAATATTTTGGAAAATCTTGTTTAAACATTATTTTCCAGCAAATAAGCAAACTTAAAGTTCAGTTTTGTGTGCGTATTTTATAAATTACTTCTTTTAGTATACTTTACAACATTTTTGCCAGAAGAAGTAGCAAGAAATTTTAAATATTATCAAAAAAATTAAAAAAAAAATATTTTCGAAAAAATTGGGTTTTTGGGATAAAGGTTGTTCACAAAATGGGTTTATTTGTGCAGTATCTACATTTCTACAAAAAATCTTGACGATATAAGTCGAATATATGCAAAAAAATCGATTTATAGGTCTAAATTGGGGTATATAAAGCTCGAAAATACAAACGGCCATAAAAAAAAAATTCGAGCTAACTTTTACAAACCCAGCGAGAGTTTTGCTATTGGATAGGTATATTTTCAGAAAAAAATGGTCCGGTGCGGTTTGATTTCGATGACCCGAAAATTGTCGCACAGTGTAAGATTAACCTTGTTGTAATACAAATGCATTACGATAGGTCAGCATGTGCGACATGACGCGTGGCAATCTATCCCTTATGATGGGAATCAATAAAAACCGTTTTCGTGTACCTGCATCGGCGTCCACGTGCTCAGCACATTGTCCTGTTCTATGTTGGAAATTCCAACATCAAGGTATAAACCTTTATTAAACTAAAGCTTATGCTCGTATCATGCTGTATAATTATTACAAAAACTTACCCTTAACAATTGCCAGCAGATATTACACTAAACAAACAAAACACTAAAGCCACATACACTAATTACTCGCGGTCAGCTCGCATTTGTTCTGTGCATCTCCCCTATAATGATCCCGCCTAAACAATGCACCATGTGCATGTGCGTAATATCTTGTTCCATAGAGAGTATAAAGACGACTATTAAATTGTATAAGACATATTATAGTTCTTATAAAATAAATTATAAATTAAAATATATCATATCTGCAAGAAATCATTTCATAAACAATATGCATCTAGATTATAGCCAGTATTAAACAACTGGAATAAAATCAAAATTATTACAGTTACTACACAGCTTATTGTCTTTATAAACAAATATGATTATAACTAAGCATCCTCTTATTGTCTTTATGAAACTCGTCTTAACAATACTGGTTTATAGAAACATTTCTTTCAGTGTAGTAAATAAATGGAGCACTCCGACTGTAGGGTTCTGTAATGCCGACATTGATGAGAGAGAATAATAAAATTAACTTAACTTTTATACTCTCTATTTTCTTTGCTAAAAGCGACGACGCAAAACCAATTTGTTTTAAATTTGTATATTCCCGCTAAAATTAAAGTGTTTTGTTCTTTGGTTTTGTTATTAAATATGTCTGATTCGAGTAGCGATGATGAACGATCTGCAAAAAAAATAAAAGGAACCCACCGAAAACAGTTTTCAATATAAAATATTTTTTAATTTGGTTTAATTGTTTTGTTGCATTTATATATTTTATATATTAAGTATTTTATTTTAATTTTTCAAATGTACGGTACTTTTTT